AAATAAATAAATTGATAAATAAATAAATAAATAAACAAACAAAATTTTGTTAATAATGAAATCATATGGTTTTGCTGTAACTGCGCACCTGATATCACCTATATAATGTTCCTTTCTTACCATGCTTAGTTGGGTCGGCATCACGTAGATTCTTGGGCAGAGTTGTGATAAGTACTCTAACAAGAGATCCATCTGATCCGGTTATGTTAAAACCTGTAACCAAAACATATCATTTAATGGAACTCGAGAAAACTTTGAAATGCATGTTATATCAAAAACGTCAATCTAATTAAATCCCAAAAAATCTTTGGCTGATCTAAGTACAGGCACTGATGCTGTAACTTACAGATCAAATTGGAATAACCAGTTTCGGTAATTTTGATTTACTTCAATAACGCAGGGAGTAGTTGCCCAATTCTCCCGAGCCAAGGACCTCATGTTTAATGCGCTCGAAGGTGCGCCCTTCTAGCCCCTCTTACTATCAGTGCTCCTTTTTACGGGTATTTAAAACTAATTAAAGCAACACAAAACAGTGAGAAGCCGAAACAGACGTGCAGTTCCTGAGATYGAACTATGGACCTCTAGCTCTGAAGGCACACTAAGCAACTGAGCTATGCTTGCTCCTAAAGACACTCAATTACTGTACTAACAGGTACAAATGACCCGAGACCCCATATGTCACCCTTGATTTTCCTTGTTTAAAAAAAAATGCAATAATCACTAACATACCTCCTTCGTTGGCTTGCATTGGATAATCTGTTTAAAAAAAGATTATTGAAGAAAAATATTTGACAAATTGCAAAACAACTTTTATTCAAATTTCTATTCCCTAATGAGAAATGGTAAGCAGGGTTCGTGCTGAGGTAACCACTTAATATTCAAGAACTATTCAAGGAGTATACAAGCACCCAAAAATGAATTTCAAGGAGTATGTTCAGCTAACTATGCAAAGGTTTGACACGGTGGTTGCACATGGCCAACTTTCAGATTTTCCAATCTTTCTGACTAGATCTATTTCAGAACCATGCAAGTAATGATCAAAGCAAAAATCCAAGGAGTTTTCAAGGAGTTTTGCTAAAAATCCTAAAATTCAAGAGCTTTTCAAGTGCCCTTGAAAACGTGAATTAAATTCAAGGAGTTTTCAAGGAGTTTAAGGAGTAACACGAACCCTGGGTAAGACATAAGGAGCTAATAAACTGAACAAAAGAAAGTGTGCAAGGCATTCTGGTAGTTGAAGTATGTAGTATCCCTTGGCATTCTATTAGTTGAAAAAGTGTGCAAAGAATCTTCCATGGTGCAGTACATACCTGCAGCTGGGGTGTTGTCTGCCTTCTCTTCCTCCTTCAACGTCTTCTGTACTCTAGCTGCTAGACTCAATATATCAGCCTCTAAAAAGCGATAAAAAAGGAGGGTTAAGGATCTGGTAATGTTTGGATGGTTAAGAAATAATGGCCTAAGATTGGCAATATACCTCATCGGCTATGATGCAATGTTTTCTCATTTCAGTGTGTTAAGCGTTATTCCCTTGCATATCATTTCTTTCTTTACTAGGAATGTTTTTAGCTATGGTGCAATGTTTTCCATTTCAGACCATGTGTCATTCCCTTGAGTATTACTTCTTTCTTCACTAGGAATACTTTTCAGCTATGGTGCAATGCTTTTTCCCTTTCAGACCATGTCATTCCCTTGAGTATTATTTCTTTATTTACTAGAAATGCATTTTAGCTATGGTGCCAGGTTTTCCCATTTGAAACCACATAACTCTCTAGAGTATCATTTCTTTGTATAACAGTTGCGCATGAAAAGACATATGAATATGGATTCAACAAATTTGCAACATCCCCTGTGATTGGTTAGGTTTAGGGGCGGGGTTGGGGAAAGGTCATTGTTTTCTATTGTTCTACACATGTGTTCCCTCCAATAGGATCACATCTTGCAAATGCTTGTAGGATGACCCCAAACGAAAAAGGAGAATAGCACATGGTCTAGCTGAAATGGGAAAGCATTGCACCTAGGAAAAATAGGTCTATTAACCTTTTCGGCGTCAGCCGTCACGTGGTATAAATTAGGTTGGATTGTGATTGATATTGCCGTAAAGAGGGCAAACTGAAGAAATCTATCTAAATTATYTCTTTAAACTCAGTGAATTTGTATGGGAATACGAGAACGATGTCCGAACTTTTTGGTGACCATAACACAATCCAACAAAGTGTTTACGACATGATGGCTATCGCGGAAAAGGTGAATTGTCTCACCAGTTGGTAGTTTCTTGAGGATAACTGCCAGATCTGCGACGGTGTGTCCTAACATCATGGTGCCTTTCTTGTAAGAACCAACTGCTCTAACTTCCTCAACTCCCTAGAAACGATAAAAATCAATAAATTTGAATATTCCAATGATGAAACCATTGTTGGAACCTAGTAGGGTAAGCTTGAGCCGTTTTGAATGTAATAGAGAGTTTTAGATAGACTTTTTTCCATCYCGCAAACGGCAAATGTGACCACATTTTCATCGTTTTCCTGTATTTTACTTTACCTCTTTCATATTTTTCATATGATTCACAAAAAAAATATTCTTTTGTTTTTCTACAACTTGGATTTTTTTGTGATTCCTTTTCATTTATTTAAAAGAATTTTTCACTGATCAACTGACGTTAATCTAAAACTCTCTAATATAACAAAAAAGTCGCCAAAAAGGATTCTGGAAGTGTAGGTAAAAAACATCACATTGCTTTGTTGATTTTTATAAATAAAAAACTAATAACAAAATAAATAGGATTTCGCAGCTGCATTTCCACAGAGTGGCTCTTCATCCACTGTAATTACAATTGGAGTTGATTTTTGGGGAGGATTGGAGGGAGGAAAGCCGGAGAACCCRGAAAACCCTCGAAGCACAGGAGAGAACCAACAAACAACTCAACCAAGCTTGTCAGGACTCAAACCCGTATACGCAAACCCTGGTAGCATTGGTGAGAGGCGAGCGCTTCCCAATTATTCAATGGTCAACTGACGTTTTAAGATAGCCGTACAAACTCTATGATACTTACAAATTCAGCGCCATCAGGTGCAACGATAAGATTGTCCAAGACATTGTTTATTTTTGTCATCAAGTTTTGAACTGAAGTCTGTGGAATAAGATACAATGAGCAGATTGTTTCGCTTATAATATTATACTCAATCATAATTGGCTAATTTGCATATAAGAAATGACAGAAAGGCTCTTCCAATTTCGAAAACTTTCAAAACATCACTCGTACTATAAATTCTGAATCGTACGAGAAGATTGTGCGATTTTTTGTTTATAAAACAATTTGGGATTTAACTGTATGCCCCTTATGCCTAAAACAATACTTTTAGTATTGATTCTACGTGAAGTGAATAGTTGAATGGTGAAATATTTCTTAGTTTGAGTGTTGCATTTCCAAAGTTGTAAAGGTTTACACTTTCAGCTGTGACTTCATCTGGGGGACAAAACAAAAGAATTCCAATCTCATGAGAATTTGAACCTATTGTTTTCTCCACCAGATTGAGCTACATGTACATTCCAAACTGCGGTAAGGGGTCTGTTGGGTGGATTTGTTTTAACCTGTAATTCTACACACCAAATTTACCTGTTCTTGTAGTGTGGGAGTGAGTTCTTGATTTCTTTTTAACAGTTCCTATTAAGGGAAAAACCATGGGTGAAATYTTTTACTCCGACGAAGGACTAGCGTCCGAAATGTCAGTAAGTTTTTTCATCTTTTCACGAAGTATAATTTACCTTTTTATCATTACTGTTTCATTAGAAACATCGACGCAGCTCATACTAGTTTTTAGCTAGTTATATCTTCATGGTTGAAATCAAAAAGGTTCATATTACACCTTATTACATAACTTTTTTTGCGATTCCTGCTTTTTAATGGTTTACAGCGCTCGCAACTACTATAACTGGGGCCACTTAGATAGCGAGAACCAATCAAATTGTGAAATAAAAACAATACATTCCCACTTAGGATAGTGGAGCCAATCAGAAACCAGCCAAAAACAATATTCTTTCATCATATATTTTCATTCCCACAAGAAAATGATGATGGCTAATAATAATAATTTTAATGCTTCTATAGCGCAAAAAGTCATTTGGGTATATGTTCTAATGCCCTTTTCCGTTATTTCAAGCCCTGGTACATATGACATTAAATGAGAGTGTCGCACAGAGTAAATAATGTACCTGGGTAAAGGGTGCTTCATCTGGTTGTTCTCTTGCTTTGGGGAAGAAAGGTTCAGCCTTTGAAGGAAGAAGTAAATATAAGTAAATTACTTGGATTCACTTGACGTCATTTTCTGTCTTGTGTGGAATGATCATCAGCTGAATCACAAGTTTTGAATTGAATTGCCTTACTTCCCCGAATGCCTGGGTGTACATGTACTTTAGAAAATACAATGCCTCATAGGATATCCTATTCCCTGCTAGCCAAGCTTATTTTCCTTTCCTTATTTTCCTTTGCTTTTTTTGGTGGTGTGAGAAAAATAAACTCTGCCGTGATGTAACTTAGCAATGCTGTCATGATTTTGACAGCCGCTCTCCTCAAGCAACCTTTGGCACAACGGTGTGTTACATTTTACTCATGCGCACTACATGTACCCGGTTAAAAACCGGTTTTAAAACAGGTTTCGTTCGTCATCAAAGGAAACGCTCTACATCTGCTAAGTCTCCCTCCTCCCGGCTGCCTAAAACAAGGCAGAGAGGAGAGACTCTGCTAGCTGGGAAGATATCCCATGGTATACCACCCAAAACCAGTGTCTAACTAATAGTATAATATTTATCTTGCTATTGTTTAGGATGTTTTTCTTGAATCAAGGCTCAGGCACATACTAGGATTTTAAATACAAGCCACTGCCGCCTCATGAGATATTCCATGGTAAAGTATGCCACCCAAAACCATTGTATAACTAGTAGGTACTCACCAAGACAGGATCAAACGTGGAATGACTGACCATAAACTTTTGTCCCATTGGGTTCCTTAGATACGGAGGACCACGACCAGGACCAGATCTACGACCAGAACGACGGCGATGCATGGCTGATGATAGTAAAAACAATTTTACTTTTACAGTGCATTTCACATTATTTTACGTCGGCAGGTTGGAAAGTTCGTTCGGAAGTTTCCAAGTTGGCAACGAACTTCGGAACTTCAAAATGAAATTCCAGCATGCTCTTTGAAATTCATAACATCTTAAATTCAGAAACTCGTCGGAAATGCTTTTCTTACTTAATTTCCAAGTCGGATTTTATCACAATACAAGGTATTTATCTTATTGACCTGTTTTGATATGAGTTTTGGAACATTTGAGGTTTTTTAAGAAACAATTATTTCAGCAAAATTTTAAAATATAGATGTAAACAGTTCACGGTTCACTGAACTTTGTTCACTTGAAGTTCTGAAGTTTGTTGGCAACTTGGGAACTTCTGAACGAACTTCCCAACCCTCCGACGTAAAGTAATGTGACATGCACCGTAAGAAAATTTTTTGAGAATAAATGCGACTCTGATTTTTGAGAGAAAGGAAGTTGATCTGGGATTTTGCATCTTTGTGCAAATCCTGTTCCATGAGTTATCTATACATACAATTAATATGCTATTGAAATGATTCATTATTCTTTAAATTTATCATTCATAGTATATAATCATATTAATGTTTTCCCTTTTGGGTGATTTGAGCAACTAAGGAGTTGCCTTACAAAGCATCACCATTGTTGTTCCTCATCACTGTCATTATCATTCATTACCATCATCATATATAACCATCTTCAGCATCGCCACCATCGTCAAAATCATTACGTATCACCATCTTCAACATCATCGACATCATCACCAACACCATCATCAATAACATCATTGTCAACATCATTATCATGATGAACAGTATTGCCTGTATCGTTCAACACCATTTTCATCATCATGTATCATTATAAAGTATCATCACCATTGTCATCAACATCCTCAAAACTATCATTAATAGTCACTATCATTATCATCAACAATTCCCACATTGGTTGAAARTTTTGCCGAGATTATGACGGCCGTGGTTCAACACTCAATATTTTCATTACAACTTAATGGAGTGTTTGTTTCTCTCTTATTCTTCGAGGCATTTTCTTCAATAAAGCTTACTGCAATTTTCATAAACATGCGAAGCATGTGAGCTGTGAGCTGCAAGCTGAATTTTGGTTATAATCTTTGCTCATGTTTGGATATTCAATCATTGAGTGACTTTTATAAGCTTACATTACTTGACAAAGAGATCACCATTGTCTATAAAACCAAGTAAGCAAAAATACGCCTAAAACGATTCCTGAATTCAATGTTGTTCTTTATCAGCAAAGATATACACGATTCAACGAGAAGTAAGGCAAATTAGAGCCTTGCTTTTCAAAATACCGGCTTCAAATTCGATCGTTTTCAGCATTTTGAATACACAAGCAATTCAACTTCCCGAAACGTTTTCAATGTCTTATACTATTTTTTGGCAAAATTTACCAAAATAAATAGTTAAATATAGAATTACAGTACATATTTTAGCTATATTTGTTTAAAATACAAACTTACCTTCGGTAGAAAATTAAGAAAATTAAGGGTGAAGTTGAAAACAAAAAGAAGACACCGGTCAACAACACTAACACATGGAGAACATCCGGGGTATGGAATGTTTAGCTTAAGACAGGAAGCCCAGAACCGGATTTCGAATTTTTGTTTTTCTTTCTTTCTTCCTTCCTTCCTTCCTTCCTTCCTTCCTTCCTTCCTTTGTTCCTTTCTGTTTTCTTTCCTTTTTTCTACTGATCTATGTATATGATCTTTTTTTCTTTCTCTCATTCCTTTCCCTAAACAACAACTGACAATTTCCACTAGAGATGCTGAATTCGATCTTGATTTCGAGTGAAGAGTAAAGGAAAGGGAAGCAAATGGTCATCAACATGCCTTTAATTTTAATTTTATTTGATGATAATATATAAAGTTCGTTTAGCCTACTTTCCTGTTTACATAAGTACTTGCTACATGATTGGTCCACTCCTTTCTTCTAGTCTCCCTGCCCATGAAAAGAGATCTAGAATTTGGGGAGGAGGGCAAAACAATTGTCATCTCATGATACCCCCGATTTAGGGGGGAGGGGTGGTGTTACCCGGTACCCACCACCTCTGGAAGTGAAATCTTAGATTTTGTCCCCAAATATCTCCAAACCTAAAAGCCAAATCACAGAAATGAATGTACTGTCTTTCTGCATGTATGCTAAAAAACATATTTTTTTGTATAGAAATTGCCACTACAGACCCCCAGTATCGAGCATTTAAACAGCTCTCTGAGGGGGGAGGGGGTATGTACCGATACCCACCAACTTAATTCATAAAAGGGTCCCTATTTTGGACCATTGTTTTGACCTCGCCCCTTTGCGAGCACCAAGCGCGACGATTCCGAGAATKCCGACTACTTTAAAGAATTAGTTAGCATTCTTTCTCTGTTCAGGGGCCAGAATAACCTTTTCTTCATCCAGCTCACACTTCTCCCCATAAACGAACGAGTTTACAGGAAACTGTCTCAACCCAAGAATCACACTACTGAACGTACTACTCGATGTAAGAATGAAAAAATCGCATTCAACAAGTATAAGTTGGTCCATCAAGAGATCCCTAAAGATTTCCTGATGGCCAGTTTTGCTAACATCCARGTGTTTTGGAATAATGTTCAGCGTAAGTAGTTTATCTGGATAATCCTTTAGCGCCTGCTTTTTTAAATCTATATTATCAACTGCCAACACCCAGGTAAATTTCTTATTTCTTAAGTGGAAGAATYTTCGTCGAAGAGCTTTTTCTACTCGATCAGCGCAGACAAATACTCGCTTTGTGTCTTTTGTTCGTACGCTGTTTGGGTTGTTGCTACCAAAGTGATAATCACTGGTTCGCACGTGAAGTCCAATCAAAGGCCCATCTCTTTTTGCGTCAAGTTCCGACTTCACTTTACTGAACTCTCTCATTAAGGTTCTAGATTTTTTGAACAGAAAGTTCATTGCGCAACCGATCATTCCATAAGGGTAGCTCTTTTTTGCCGGTGGTAGTCCTATTTCTTTTGCTCGTGTCTTTAGATGCGGGTTATCCCATAGCTTATCMGCAAAGTACCATATCGTGGCTAGATTTTCTACTGGGAAATTTAGGTAAGATTCGAAGTTTACTCCTTGGCTCCAGCGTAGAAAATTTCCTCGTCTTGCAGCGTGGAAATGGTCATAGCCWGGCAACCTTTCCAAACCCCAGTATCCTTTCCTGGACTTCATGTCCTTGAATTTAAACTCATTATAAGTCCAGTCTATTTTATTCGGCTGTAAATAAGTTTCCAGTAATTCTGGTCCACCCCAATGAATCATAAAAGTCCTATTGAGAAGAACAGATAAGTAGAAAATGGATACCAGACCAATCATCCTGTTGCCATAGCCACCACAACCGCCACTGTGACCTGCGCAGTAGTAGATTAGGAATTTTCTGTCCTTGCTTTGGGATTTAAGGCTGTTGGCATGGTAACGGATGTATTCGTTTTTCCATCTGCCGTCGCAAGTGAAGGTTTTGGAGGTGTGGAACAGGTTATCTTGGGAAGCAGTTGAGTCTTAGTAAGGAAGAATGAAAGAGAAATTAAATMAATTAGATTAAATAAACGAAAAACAGTTTGGAAGGTACTGCGCATGCTCAGAAAATAGGTGGCAAAATAGCGGACAATTCTGGTTCTATGAATCCACTTAGTTTTGTTCTCCAAAAAAAAAAAACAGATTTTGGTGGGTCCTAATCCAAAAGGCACTGTGTTTTAATTGGCAAATAAGCACAAGAGCATTTTTTCTGAATTTATTTGAAGTGGGCTTCCTGTGGTATAACTACTCTACCTACCAAACAAATCAAGTAGATATGTCAAATATTCTGGTCTGGTTATCAAGGTTAYCACTATTATCAGCACTGTTCCAACAGCCAAGACAAAATACTTCCTTAAGGACATCTTTCGACCGGTCGTTAATAAAAGGGTCGTTCCCAGGCTCCTCGGCCACCTTTCAGCTGAACGACACAGGCCAAAAAACAGTTCGTTTGAACTTGTTTTTTTAACTAAGAAAAGCAGAAATCCATTGAGAAGAGTGAAAATAAACTGTATTAAACAAATTATGCTAGATTTTATGATTATTTAGCTTTAGAAAAGTCGGAGTAGCCATTGCTAGCGAACGTATCTAAACGTGAAACGCTGTGGCACTTCGCGGAGTTTGCATCACGTTCACGCAATAAACTAACGCATATTTGAACACTTCTGGATTTTAAATTCTCATTTATATTGACAGCAGTTCAGAAGAAAAGAAATGAACCGAAAAAAGCTCGCTAATTAACCATGCTTCTAGTCGACAAAAAGCACATTCTGTTGTTATTGTGAACTATGATATTATGTAGAGCGTATTGAGAATTACGTAAAAGCAACAAAGCCATTAAACTTTTAAACCATTCTAGTTCTTAACCAGTGAAACTTACCAAAAGTTGGCTTAAAATAAAGTTTGGAGGTCGGTCTTTTGGTCAGCCATAGTCATATCAGTAGATAACGGAGACTAAATTGCTTATTAAGTATGCAAAATTATGCGCAGTAACTATGCTTCATTGATTTTGAATATATTTATTTTAATTTAAGTTATGTTATAAAGTCACGCAGCATTTTGAAGCTCAGCAGAAAAGATAAGGCAAGACAGACTGTCAAAAAAAAATTATTAAATTTTATATTCAGCCAGGATGGACGTGCTTCTCATGTACTTTGAAAATTAAATTACGTGTTCTCGACGAGAACAAGAAGCAGAAACACAAGTCATTCCAGCTATAGGCCCTTTGCAGCTAAGCAATCACGTGCTGATTAATTCATTAAGAGCAAATGAATGAACATTTATATTCCCATGGTTGAAATTTACTGGAGAGCAAAAAAACTTTCTACATGACCTGTTTTGAGAGGTCGTAATGAAACTGCATTTCGCGGCGTACAGTCGTAACACACTGGATACCCATCTTTTCATTCAGTTCTTTACAAGTACCTAAAAAGAATCACCAATTTAATAAAAGAAAAAAAAAAATTTTGCCCTCCAGTACAGACACGTGACCTTAACTGCAAAGGAGGGGCTATTCTTGGATCTTGGAATGACCCCTCCTATCGCTTTTCGCCTATTGCCTCGGTAACATTTTTAGACGTATGAGTCTTAGTTTAGACGTTTTTTTAAGTCTCCGTTCCAAATCTCTCGGGAATAAAATTTTTTTCGTTTTAAATTTATCCATATTGATGTATCTTTTACTCAAAAAGAAAGAAATAATACTAAAGTTACTTTACCCACTACCCAACCACTCCTCCCTCAAAATAAATTATAACATTACAGCAAGACATTACGCAAGCGCAGAGGTATATAACCCCCCGCAAAGAARAAATGCTACAGATTTTTTCTACGCAGTTCATAGCTTTCGGGCGAGTGATTTTAAAGTCTCCAACTATAGGGCATTTTAAACCCTTTTTTTCAAGCCTCTACACTGCCTAGGCAGTCAAMGATCAACAATTTCGCCAAAAGGGAAGAAGGAAAATCAAGACCCTAATCAAAAATTTCCGGGGAAGACCTCAAAACAACCCTGTAAGTTGAACAAGTYGTTGTAACATGTCCGCCATCTTGTCTTCTTCTTCGATTTGAATGTCCTCATTTGGTTGCTAATTTTATGAGTTATTTTATTGTTTTTATTGCAAATGAGATACAAATAACCAAAATTATTGTCTATGTCTAAAATAATTGCATTTATATATAATTTTGATAGGTATTTTTACAACTTTTTAGCGCAAAGAAGTCGAAAAACCATTTCGTAACAACGAAAACGACATCGATATTTTTTTCATGCTGATGCGCAATATTTGTAAAAACTTTGCTTCGCTAAGATTCTTTTTATCGTTTAAATATTATATTTCCCATGCAAAAAATGTCTAATAGATATATTTATGGAGAGATAATTGTAGATGTATGTATTTAAATATCTGAGTTATGTAACAAAGCTTCCCGGTTTATAAACATATCTAAGCATTTCAGCTCAAATTTTGTTTTCACATTTATGTATTTATTATTTCATTACTAGCGATATTTTTCTCTAAGCAWCATTTACACTTTGCAGTTTTATTCTTTTCCTTATTTTTGAGTTTTTATAATTTTTTATTTCGTTATAAGGGTTTTTAGTGTTTATAAAATTTTGATTGCGCAAGTATGCAAAGTGAACCTAAGCTTCATATCTTAATTTTAAAAAGATCGAAACTTGTTTTAGAATGCGTATTATCTTTTTTTTCGTTCGCTGAAATCAGTGAAAATATTTGGAGTTTTCTTAAAATTTTGTACAGACTTACCAGASAGCTGTTTTTTGTTATTGCTAAATGTAAATTCGTTAGGATGTTCAGTAGCGCAGCACAACTGTGACATCATAAAAACGAAGACAAAGGCGAAATTCGGACAAACAAACTTACAAGTTTACTTTCAGCAGATAATTTTCACAGCCGATCGCAGTTGATCTAAGCTTACATGGGGTATTGTATTTTTAAGTAAAAATAATAAAATCGGTTCGTATAATCCTCGTAGCGGTTAAACAAAATGCAATGTTTGTCTGAATCTTTAAGGATCATTTTTAGGATCAGTGCGCTGCGCTATTTTCATGAGTTAGACTCATTTATGCATGAGTTAAGATGTTTAAAAATTTCATTGAAGGGAGGTTTTAATCTCAATAATCGTCTGAAGACCTGTCATTATTAAACACAATTATAATTAATTGTTGGGTTTAAAACATATATATTTAGGGAGCCAAAAATGTACCGTATCTATCACCTGCGACAATGGTTGGAGTGGTATTCCTGACGTCCGCTTCGACGAAGGCCTTTCTTCATCTGATGGTGGAGGGGGTGGAGAYGATGATGAGGATGATATATCCTTCTATACTCTTTTTGTAGTAAGTACTGCAGCAGTATTGTTTCTTTCTTAACTATGAATGTTTTTTAAAGCTATGGTGCAATGTTTAAATGTGTTTGTTATTTTGTAATTCCAGGGCCAGTGTGAGAAGTACCCTGCAAAAGAGTGCTCTCCACCCCCTAAAACAGAGTTCTTCTCCTTCCGTGTAAAAACTGGYGATCACGATGTGGCCGAGTGGTCTGCAGTCCACATCAATGAATGTCTCTATGTCCACGTACCAAATGAAGAGATGCAGCCAGGAAGCAAAGAATGGTAATAAGCAATATCCACAGCATTTCTTCTTGTTGGTCTAGTCATAGGCAGACCCAGGGGTGGTGAAGAGGATAGCTAGCCACCCCCCTTTTGCTCTAATTTCTCAGTATTATCTTTAGTAAGCCCCTCCCCCTGGCCCCCTTTTTCTTGCATTCCTCGTAAACCTTTGTTACAGTCTCCCCCCTTCTTAAATTCCTGGATCCGCCCCTGGACTAGTTGGTGTGGTTGTCATTGGGCTCTTACTGCATTTTCTCAGTGACAATGACAACTTCCTCCCTACATTGAGTGATTCATATTTACCATTATTTCTCTCTGTCATAGCTTTGTATCTTTAYTGGAGTATGCAGAAGAACAGCTCAACTGCACACATGTGTTTGTTTGCCTCCTCAAAGACCGGCCTGATAGAAGTAAGCCAAATATATGTCATATATATTCTCATACACATACATATATATATCTTTCCTATCGGGCCAATAAACCCACCTAATGTGTCCTTGAAGTCTCATATGAGACTTGGTAGCTCAGTGGTTAGAGCATGGTACCAGAATTGCCAGGACATGGGTTAAAATCCCATTCAAGACTCAGTATTTTTTATGAGTCTTTCAATTTGCAGCTGCATAAGTTGCTTCATATACTGCGAGGATCAGCTCCATTTGATAACTTGTTATAATCAAGGGATAACAGGGCTTTCAGAGTAAGTCTGCAGCCATACKGTAGGAACTCTGGCAATTGCTCCGAACTTAAGCGGCTGCTCCTTTTTTTTAATAAAATACCTTATGTTTCTTGTATGGGATCACAGCCAGCTACGTCAGAATTATGACAACCTACTACCAAATATTCTGAAAGCCCTGGATATTCAATAATTTAGAACTGTTTGCCTTTACCACTGTGAGCCTTGCAGGTTGGGGGTACCAGTTCAGTCTCTGCAGACAGCACATATAGATAGAGTTTTTTCTGGTGTATCATTCTCTCCTTAGCCACAAGGGTTTTTCTCCATGTTCTCCACTTTTTTTTCTCTCTGTAAAACCTGACAACTTAAATTCTATGTAGATCCTTGAGTTATCCATGCTCTGACTCAGATCAGCCCAGAGGTTGTATCAGGGTTCAATATATGAGTTAGCC